ATCACACATGGAACTTACTTTATAAGGGCAATTTTTTGTGATACATGCGAAGATTTCCGCAGGAGCGGCGGCGCTACTGCAACGTGTGTCGTTAGATGCGACTCAAGTGTCGCATCCAATGGCTCTGGACCGCATTTTGCCGCTGGAATGTGCATTCCCGATCGCATCGCGCTCGTCCTCTCGTCGGTATTGGATTCTTTCTGCCGCTAATCGATTTTGGTACTAGGAGCTCCCAGATCGGATTATATGGATGCGATCCGACCTGTAAAGTTCCTCATTCCCTCATTCTCTCTAGACTTACATGGAGGTCGTTCTTGTGGGATATGATCCTGTGATCGCATGTCCAGTCAGAGCTCGACTGAGTGGTGAAGCTACGAAGCCTTTTATTTGCCTGATTTCAATATCGACTTTGGTTCTAGGTACTATTTAATCGAGCATAAAGGATGCACACATTGTCGGCATGGGAAACGCTCGAGGCATTTCTTTAACACCTGGTCTTCCTGGCAGCTGGATCTATACAAAATGTAGAAAATGGTGACATACACTCTTGCAGTCGGGAAGCCAAATCCTAAACTTTCCTGAGGTAAGTCGCCAAGTTTTACTCTCGTTGAGTAGTGTGATGTGTTTGTCCTTGTAGCATGTCCACCAACGGCGTTGGAGTTCTTTCATCTTGAAAACTGGGAACACTGGCAGTATTGGAGGAGAAAAGACGCTCAATTTTGCTGGCTCGACTCTAAGGAGAGAAACCAGGCAACGTATGGCTAGTGAGTATGTTAGTTCTTACAGTTGCTCTTCGATTGTTCTATTGATTCAGCTCGTGTTTCTCCATCCAGCATTTTATAGAGATTCTATGTGTTGTTGGAAACATGCTCGCTTGCAGGCGATTGATCTCAGGCGAGTTTTTCTTCTTTTCTCTTTCTCGTTCGACTCGATATGCAGATAGTGAAGCGGTTTGCATCGATTAGTGATTTACATTGTCGTTGCAGTGCGAGGCGAGACGATCAAACCTGCCAGGAATGGTGGCCACTTTGAAAGCTTGGATGCATGCCGATGATCCACTTTTCTCCTTGATGATTTGCTCGTTGACGCAGCTGCAACTGGTGTGATAGTCATGTGACCACTCGCCTCACAACCCAGCACCGCCCGCCCACCGGCCGCAGCAGCCCAGCACCGCCTGCAACGCCGCCGCCACCACCGTCACCCGAATTTGGAACTTCAATTAGAAAATTTGACTTAGCAAAAACCTCTAATTTTAACTCCCACGAGACAGCAACGGTCTTTTGGAAAAGGATTCAATCTCGTCGAACGCGATGCTTGCGACTTCTGCTACTTGCGGCTCATTTTCCTTGAAGGGTATAGCTCCCAGCTTTGACACCATCCCTCACGCATGCAGCCATGGCTACGAGTTCTTGGTGTCGATGAGTGGCGACTATGGGATCTTTCCAAACGCCAACGCTATGCCTTTTGAGCCGCAAGCTCTTGCTTGGACGACGTTACTCTCCAGCAAAGTGGTGCGAAAGGAGCTGGCTGGACTGATTATTGATATGTGACACCGTGATGGGCATTGCTATCGTCCACAAAGCTTTCGACATGCGTTAAACGAACGAATATTATTTTTGGTGGTGACAAAGTGAGCCAATTATATATAGGAACAGTTGGCAATTTTTCGCAAATTCACCGCGCCACGTCGGATGCCACGTGGATTAAATCCATGCCGTCAAACTCTTTTCACTTAATCCAAGAAAAAACCCATGTCTCCAACCATTTCGGCTTAATTGCAATAATCTCTTTAGGGTTAGAGATGTTTCTAATTGACTTTTAATTGTAGATTTGTTACTTTTTATAATACTGAGGCACCAACTAGTGTCTTTTATTTATATGTTAATTTCTTTGGTAGTTCCTTTGGAGATCCAAGGTACCTCACTCGAATTTGGATTTGAAGGAAGAACAAGTGATATTGATATGCAAACAATAATTAATGCTATAGATTCTATTATCTCAAATATTGGTAGAAAAGATGATTTTTCAGAAACTTGGTCACATGCTATTACAATACCTTTATCAATAGGAGTAGTAGTTATAAAATTATCAAGATTTACTGGAAAATCTCAAAGTTGTGCATCAAGTGGAAAATAATAAAAGGGATACAATTTATGAAGGGTTCAGAAATTTATTAGCTCAATACTCTTTTAAAATTTTACAAGCAGCTGCAAATTATGCAATTATAACAAGTAAATCATATCAAATTTATTATAGCCATGATGGTTCATTTGAACGAGATAACTTTATTAACAACATAATAATCTCTTATGGATTGTAATATATTTAAAAATACTCTATATAGTGGTTCTAAATATACCTCATCATACTTTATTAACAAATGAATACTTATCATCCCCAAATTCAAAAGTTTTCTTATTTTTACATTTAAATTGCAATTTAATTTTATATAAAGGAGAATATAAACTATGGCAAACTTTCACTATAAAAAAAGTTATTACATCATGTTATTTGAGATTAAAAAATGATGGTAATTTTTTATTGTATTCAGAAAAAAATACAGTTGAATGGTCAATAAATATATATTGTACACCACAACCAAATTGTATTACACCAACTTTTCTTAGTTTGCAAAATAATTGTAAATTAGTATTATATTCCTCAATATCACCAAATGTTGAGGAATGGACACAATTGTCCAAATGGACAATTGTGGGAAACAAATACTTAATGCTAAAAATATGTATAAATAATTTTAATTAAAGCTATTTAAATTATATGTGTTTTGGGAAAGATAAGAAATAAATAAATAGTAATAAACATTAAACTTTATTTTTTTTCTAAATATGTTTTATTTTACTTAAAAAAACCTATAAGGGGACTGAGGTGGTAGTGGATATACTAGACTATACTTGAATATTCTAGGATATTCTATCATTTAATGGTTTCTATTTAAACATGTTTATAATTTATTCATTTTCATAAACACTTCCTAGTATATTTTAGTTTATTCTATCATCTATTACAATTGGATTAATCTTATATTTATAAATTATTAACATGTTTATATTTATTAGTCAATTGGATGAATAAATAATACTAAATAGAAATAATACCACTACTAAGAAAGCCATTTGTTGTTGCATGCATCATACAGTCATAATACTATTTTATACTAATTGATAAGACAATTATAAAATTTATTTTATTAAAAATTGTTATCTTAGTAGTTATCTATATAATATGTATTAAAATGTTCTTAGTTTAGTGAAAGCAACTTTATTACTGTCATTCATTATATATAAATTTTATTTTAAATTTAATCTTGGAAAATAAAAATAAAACAAATGCAGACAGCATTTTCTAGCTAACTTTGTATTAAATGTATTTTATTATTAAAATATTAAATAAATTATAACTTTATCTAGCTTTTTTTCTTTATTTTTATTTTCTTTATATGATTAAAAATGATATAATATTGTATAAAAGTATTTAAAATGAACTTTATATTTGTTTTTTACATTAAAATTTTAATTTAAAGTTCTAAACCCTTATTAAGAATCTTTATATCTTGATTTAAAAAAAAAATGTTTTAGGGGGAGGTACACCTCCCAAAGGTACCTAGGATGGGCAGCAATTCAATTATTTTGCAAGATAAAACATATATGTGTTTGTGTGAATCACAATCCTTATATTTGCATACAACCACATATGAAAATTCACATCTGCTTATTTCCAATATTACACGTCCTCCATTGATCTTCTCCCTAGTGGTACTGCAGCAGCTGGATTGGAGCAGCCCCAGCCCAACACCCAGCCTCCCAGACTCACTCCAGATCTTTGAAAATTCCCTCTCTGGTGAGATCTCAGCCAGCATCGGCAATCTCTCCAACCTCACTGACCTCAATGTGCACTGCTCAGTTACAACACTGCAGCAGTGTGGCAATCTCATGCAGCTCGACGTCACTGGCAACCGATCCTGGATATCAGCACAAACTTCTTTGTGGGATCCCTCCCGGATGAGTTGTGGCATGTATGCGATCGGTTTGTGTCTCCACCGCCAGAAAATCTCGAGGAGCCATAAAAACCGTAGAAATGTACCCACAACAAGATTTTAAAATGCTTTATGCTTTCTTGTACATACCAAGCTCCATGAGTTGTAAATTGGAATCAAATCACTCAAAAAAAAGGAGATGACATAATTGCACACTTTTGTTTGTGCAATGACATGTCCCTGCAGTGATGTCAATATTATAATGCACACAATCATGTTTCAATTGTTATTATAAGCAATCATATTCATACTAATTTTGTGTGCAATTGAAAGCAAATAAAATATCTGAACATGAGTAAATAAAAGATGCACCTTTGATCACATTGCCATACCTTTTTACTTTTAATAATGCTTCTTTTCTATTTCAGTTTATTGAGCTAAATTAGAGGATCAGGGCAGATGCTCTTGACATTCTGCCCAAGATATTTTACAAGGTTGTTATATTGGAAATTATATGACTTAAATCCCAATCCTTGAAGTTGAAATTCTCAGAAAAACTCTCTACCAAGCAGGAAATCCCAGAATTAAAAGAGTTCTACCTGAGTGTCAGGCCAACATGTTTATTAGCTTGTTGCTGTTGCTGATGCCCCAAAGGATTAGAACACGTTCCTGAATGGGACTGCCTCCTGGAACTCCACAAATAACGATTGATCGATCGCCAGGCATGAAGAGCAATGCGAGAAAACATGCGAGGTTTGAAGAACAAGCTTGAAGCTCCAAATCCTTGTCATTGTTTAGCTTTCGTTTATGCACACCACTCTTGTTTTAAGTCTAACATTGTTTTATATGCAAAAGTTGTATTTGGTAACTAGATTTTGCTTGTCTTGTTAGCACCGAGTAGTTCACCCACATGATTGTGACAAGAACTTATGGCCATATGTTGAGAAAATGCCTGGATTAGGCAAATCCTGGCAAAGTTTGGGCATAGTTGGGAAGCTCTCCAAGGATGTGTCTTGAGAGAGCCCAGCCGGATAGCTTTACTTTCTCGAGCGTTCTCGAGGCATGCTCGGAGCTGCGAGACTTGGAGAGTGGCAAGTCTATCCATGCTCGAGTTGCTTCCACTGGGATGGTCGAGCTCGTTGGAACGTCTCTGGTGGATCTCTACGCCAAGTGTGGGGAGCTCGAGCCTGCTAGATCCATCTTCGATGCAATACAGAGGAGGAACAACCACGATGCTGGGTATAACACACAAGCGCTCGAGCTGTACGAGCTCTGGTGCGATCGATGGCGCGATGACGCTCTGCTGTGGCGCTTGCTGATCGGTGGCTGGAATGTGCATTCCCGATCGCATCGCGCTCGTCCTCTGGATTCTTTCTGCCGCTAATCGATTTTGGTACTATATGGATGCGACCCGACCAGTAAAGTTCCTCATTCCCTCAATCTCTCTAGAATTACATGGAGTTTGTTCTTGTGAGAGATAATCCTGTGATCGCATGTCCAGTCAGAGCTCGACTTTGTGGCGAAGTTACGAAGCCTTTTAGTCGCCTGATTTCAATATCGACTTCGGTTGTAGGTACTATTTAATCGCTCGATGTTAGTTGGCATTTCTCTAACACCTGGTCTTCCTGGCAGTTGGATCTATACAAAATGTAGCAAATGGTGAAGAGCGCAAGAAAGAAGTCATACACTTTTGCAGTCGGGAAGCCAAATCCTAAACTTTCCTGAGGTGTGTCTAGATACCAGTCAAGTTTTACCCTCTTTGAGTAGTGTGATGTGTTTGTTTTTGTAGCATGTCCACCAACGGCGTTGAAGGAGTTCTTTCATCTTGAAAACTGGGAACTCCAGCAGTATTGGAGGAGAAAAGACGCTCAAGTTTACTGGCTCGACTCTAAGGAGAGAAACCAGGCAACGTATGGCTAGTGAGTATGTTCAGTTGCTCTTCGATTGTTCTATTGATTCAGCTCGTGTTTCTCCATCCAGCATTTTATAGGAATTCTATGTGTTGTTGGAAACATGCTCGCTTGCAGGCGATTGATCTCAGGTGAGTTTTTCTTCTGTTTTCTTTCTCGTTCAACTTAGTGCTGCTCGATATGCAGATAGTGAAGCGGTTTGCATCGATTAGTGATTTACATTGTCGTTGCAGTGGTGGGAGACGAGCAAACCTGGCGGGAATGGTGGCCACTTTGAAAACTTGGATGCATGCCGATGATCCACTTTTCTCCTTGATGATTTGCTACTTGATCAGGTTCGTGTGACTGCTGAGCTCTGGTTTGTTTCTCAGTGTACACACGTACTTGGAAGGAGTTTTGACAACGCCTTGACAAGTGATTTGCTCCAAGCAGCTCAATGCCATCTCCTCCGACATGGTGTTCCGACGCAGCTGCATTTTGGTGTGATAGTCATAGTCATAGTCATAAGCAACAGTGATAGCCTCACAGCCCCAGCCCAGCACCGCCCGCCCACCCGCCCACTGCCCGCAGCGCCGCTGCCACCACCGCCATCGAATTTGGAACTTCAATTGTAATCTAATTTTAACTCCCACGAGACAGCAGCGGTCTTTTGGAAAAGGATTCAATCTCCTCGGACGCGATTGCGGCTCATTTTCCTTGAAGGGTATAGCTCCCAGCTTTGACACCATCCCTCACGCATGCAGCCAGTGGAGGGCTGCTCATACCTGGCTACGAGTTCTTGGTGTCGATGAGTGGCGACTACGGGATCTTTCCAGACGCCAACGCTATGCGTTTTGAGCCGCAAGCTCTTGCTTGGACGACGTTACTCTGGCTGGACTGATTATTGCTGTGTGACACCGTAATGCTATGCCCCTCTCCCTTCGGGTGCCACGTGGATTAAATTCGTGCCGTACGTCGTCCAGACCAACGTGTACGGGAAAGGAGGCTTGGAGGTTTGTCTCTTCACTTAATCCAGAAGAAACATAAAGACCAAGGAGACTATGGAAGACTATCGTGGCAAACCATTTCGGCTTTATTGCAATAACACAATGACATAATCTCTTTAGGGTTAGAGATGTTTCTAATTAACTTTTAATTGTGGACTTTATAATGGTGAGGCACCTTATTTATATGTTAATTTCTTTGGTAGTTCCTTTGGAAATCCAAGGTACCTTACTCGAATTTGGATTTGAAGGAAGCACAAGTGGTATTGATATGCAAACAATAATAAATGCTATAGATTCTATTATCTCAAATATTGGTAGAAAAGATGATTTTTCAGAAACTTGGTCACATGCTATTACAATACCTTTATCAATAGGAGTAGTAGTTATAAAATTATCAAGATTTACTGGAAAATCTCAAAGTTGTGCATCAAGTGGAAGTACAAATAAAATAATAAAAGGGCATACAATTTATGAAGGGTTCAGAAATTTATTAGCTCAATACTCTTTTAAAATTTTACAAGCAGCTGCAAATTATGCAATTATAACAAGTAAATCATATCAAATTTATTATAGCCGTGATGGTTCATCTGAGCGAGATAACATTATTAACAACATATTAACTTTCCAATCTCTTATGGATTGTAATATATTTAAAAGTACTCTATATAGTGGTTCTAAAAATAAACCTCATCATACTTTATTAACAAATGAATACTTATCATCCCCAAATTCAAAAATATTCTTATTTTTACATTTAAATTGCAATTTAATTTTATATAAAGGAGAATATAAACTATGGCAAACTTTCACTATTAAAAAAGTTATTACATCATGTTATTTGAGATTACAAAATGATGGTAATTTGGTATTGTATTCAGAAAAAAATATAGTTGAATGGTCAATAAATATATATTGTACACCACAACCAAATTGTATTACACCAACTTTTCTTAGTTTGCAAAATAATTGTAAATTAGTATTATATTCCTCAATATCACCAAATGTAAAATTATGGGAAACAAACACTCAATGCTAAAAATATGCATAAATGATTTTAATTAAACCTATCTAAATTATATGTGTTTTGAGAAAGATAAGAAATAAATAATAATAATATAAATATAAATTTTTAAT